ACATTTGAAATGGCGAGATGTAACCGTAAGTTCTATGTTAACAGTTTCTTCTCTTCCATGTCTCGCTTGTGTACTCTCTTTAAATTCAGTAATATCTGAATGGGAAGTGTTAAAACCACCCCTATCAATACCAAACCTGAAAAAAGAGAAAAGAAAAGAAATAGCCATCTACATAATATGCTGTGTTCAGTATCAATAGAATTCAGAAACCCAAATTGGGAAGGTAAGTATCTTAATTAAAATTTGTCTAGTCTGAGAAAAAACAATAAGCAAATAAAACAAATTGATGAATTTTCTTTTATGGACTTTAAAATTCACCAACTTTATAAATATTTCAAGGCCTTTTCTGAAGGATGGAAAATAAATCATTTTCTAATAGACTAACTTTATCATTATTAAATGAACTATTGTCAACCGTTATTAGTTTTTACTAAGATTTCTTTCCTTTTAAATGTTATTTTCCTTAGTAATAATATTGATTTTTATTTATATTTATGATGAAGACATGTTAACCATTAATAATCTTTGGTTTGTATTTCTTTCACTATAATTTCAATTGCTTTATTTATATTAGTAGCATTAATAATTTTATTTACTATTTATTTTAATAGGAGAGAGGTTCGCCTATCGTCCTGTTTATACACTTCCCCGGTCATATGAACAGAAATAGAGGTTTGTTCCTTGTTTGCTTTTTAGGATTGGGTTTCCGGTTCCTTCTAAAGTCTACTTCAGCTCTATACTTCTATTCGTTTCTGTCGATGAAATTTTTTTTACAATTTATTTATTTTTGTCCTTCATTAGGAGTAGATAGATTCACCTATTGTCTGATTCACATCCTCCCCGTTTTTTTTGGGGAACAGGAGTAGAAGTTTATCCTTAATTTCCTGTTCAGGATTGGGTTTGCGGTTTTTTCTAAAGTTTTTTTTTCATTCTCTTTCACTCTCAGTAGCCCCTTGTGTCTTTGTGGAATTATCGCTCTGCTTGGGTATGAATTGATTAAAAGACAAACAAATAGCTAAAAAACAAAAATAAGACAGAGCCGTAACAACAACAAAAACTAGGAAGGATATCGATCTAAAACTTGAAGTTTCACGTTAATCACGATCCTCAAACAAGCAACTGCTAAAAGACCACCTTAAAACAATCACAAAGAAGAAGAAAAAAGCACATCAAAGAAACTAAAAAGGAAACAAAAAAGAAACGAAATGAAAAAAGAAACGAAACGAAAAAAGAAACGAAAAAAGAAACGAAAAAGAAACGAAATGAAAAAAAAAACGAAAAAGAAGAAACGAAAAAGAAACGAAATGAAAAAGAAGAAACGAAAAAGAAACGAAATGAAAAAAGAAACGAAATGAAAAAAAAACGAAAAAGAAACGAAATAAAAAGAAACGAAAAAGAAACGAAAAAGAAACGAAATAAAAAGAAACAAAAAAAGAAACAAAAAAAAAAAAAGAAACGTGAAAATAGTCGCCCACACGGGTGAAAAATAAAATAAGCAAAAACCATGGATGACCCAAATATACGTATGTATAATGGATTCACCTTTAGAATTCAACGTATGAGGGTTCAACAGATGTGAATCGTTACATAACCCGCCCAAATGAGTTGATTATATTAGGAAATGAGTCAAACTTTGAAATATATATATATATATATATATATATATATGTATGTATGTATTTATATTCAAGATCTTTACAGCCAAGATCTTTCATAGCATATACACAAAAGAGAACGATACTCATTTGCTTTGTAGTCCATTAATAATTCTTCCTAAGAACCGATACTTTGTGGCAGAAACTCCCGTAAGATTCTTCTCCGATCACTACAAAATTAAACACTACACGTCCAGGACTTATTTTCTCTATATAGCATCATAAACATCAATTCTTACTTCCTCCTTTGGCATTTATATAAAATCTCATCCAATAACCTTCTACCTTGAGTGTCTTGTATTAATTGAACAATTAGTAAAATGAGTGCGCCACGAATTCTGCAGTGAGTCCTCCTCGGGTGTGAATTTCGTTTTCATTCCTAGACTGGATGATATCCAAGGCTAGGGAGACCAGTCTAAGCCTACGATTTAACCCATCACGGGGAGAAGTCATGCTTTTTCCAAGATCATTAGTGCGAAGTGAACTAGACGAACTCGAAAGGAATTTAAAATCGGCTCGTTTTCAGCATTCAGTGCCATTCAACACTGAACGGCCGGAAAATGTACCGGTTGAAATATAGTCAACAAAGAAAAATTAAGTTAGAACAGTGGAATTATGAGACTGCTTCATCTGACAACTTTGCTCACAGTAATATTAACCGTTTCCTTATAAGGAAATATTTTTATTCATTGGCCGAGAAGCTTGTACTAATGTCGGTCGAAATTTATAAAATCTTTTTCTTAAAACAATTATTTAAGAAAATCGGTTTCTCAAGTGTAGTTCTTGTTATCGTTCTTTCCGGTATTGATGATGAGGTTTCCTTCCTAAATTTTTGTTTGAAGTAGTGTGGAATATCAACATCTTGATTATGTCATTATTGTCTCTTCGAGTTATATGTGCTATCCATTTTAGCTGTTGCTGCTGTAGAAAGTCCTCAAGTGATCTTGTTTCTGTTATCTGGTACAGTAAAAAAGATCTTATTAATAACTATTTTTGTATCGAAAAAGCTTGTGGTGTAGAACTGGAATTTTTAAGTAGCTTCCATTTTCAGACATTAATCAGAGTCAGTATTATAAAAATTAGGTTTTCTCAATCTGAAATGTCCTGCATTTTTATCTCTTGTCGATTGACTTTCGTAGTTTCATTCATTGCAGTTTAATAATGAGTACATTTTTCCGGGATTACTACACCACAAAAACTTGCGTTTTTTTTAATTTTTTTATTTTCCATGTCACCTCAAGACGTAGGCGATCTGGCCTCTTCACAACTTTCTGTGCGTCCGAATGTGTCCTGCTTTGGTAAACAGAATAAATGCTTTGACTATGCAAGGTCATACTCTGTGAATCAACTCAAGGAAAAAATATCTTCAGAATGTTGGTGGTGAGGTTTTTGACATATTCCATACGCATCAGATTTAGCACCTGCAGGTTTTTCATGCTTTCCCATGCCTGGAACATTTCCTATATTACCAGTAATACATCTTTGGAAAATAAAAATATTACCAGCAATACGTTTCTGAAGGAAAAATATCACATTTAGAAACAAAGATAAACAGTCCAGAGATCTTTAAATGGAGAATCGAAATTTACTTTTGATTTAGGATGCAACCGTTGAAACTAAGGTGAGTATATTTTTGATGAATAATATTTACTTAAATTTAATAAACTTTTCGTTTTATACCATTACTGGCAAAACGTAATTATTTTGCAAACAGCCGAATATTTACTTAAAAGTTTCATTAAAAATAACAGCAAAGATAAGTTTATTTATTTCATTTACATGCGGACTATCGTCCTCATTGTCATTTGTTATCACAACAATTGTGCCCACTGGTTTTCACTATATATATGCCGTCCTGGGTAGTACGATAAACTACATCCGCGTCCTGGGTAAGACGATAAATTCCATCCGACTGCAAGGCCACTGTTCAGGAGGTTTTGAGGAGTGAGGAACCACGTCTTAATTACTGGTGTCCCCGGTTACTCTGACCCGGGGTGGTAGCACCTGTTAGGGTCCCAACTATTGGCAAATAGTTAACCACCAAACAGGGGTCAAACATTAAGAAAGTGTAAAAATAGGTTTTAATATCAGCAATACACTTCTGGAAAAATATTACCAGCAATACATTTTTGAAGGAAAAAAAAATATTACCAGCAAAACATTTTTGAAGGAAAAAAAAATATTACCAGCAATACATTTTTGAAGGAAAAAATAGCAGCATTAAAAATCTTGTCGGCATTAAATAACCCATTGGGGCTGATATACCGTAAACCAAACCAAACCAAACCAAACCAAAGCAGATGTATATCAATCCGGGTAAGCTACAGAGAATTCCGAAATCTATAATCTTCGGAGGTTGATAGTTTTCGTTCCACTGCCCGTGTCTGGAGATATCTCTGGTTTCATTATGCTCAATTGTTGCTCGCTTTGAGTCCAAGGACACACTGCATGACTCAGAGAGAAAATTGACAATTACGGTATCACCAAATTCACGAACTAACAATATAATCCACTAGGCTATTGTTCCCTGGTACAATTCTCTGTGGAGAAATTGGAGCAACAACAAAGATGAGAAAGATAGCCAGATTGTAAATAGTGTAAATAAGGACAACTCTTGTTCCCAGAAATTCAGACAGAAAGTTTATTGTTATTTCTTTAGCTAACTTTATTTTTTCGCCGGCAAAGTGAAAGCAATGGATATAATTATCATCTGAATGTTTGTAATAGATTGCTTTCAACTAAGTTTCTCGTCCTTTTCAAGAACCTTTACGTAGTGGTGTCGCCCATTTTGAATTCAAATGCTTATGATTATTTGGCTGCTATAAATATTTTAAATGTATTTTGACTTGGGAAAGACGACATGTCTACGTAATTCGTATTTTGATTTTTGTAACCAAACTTTTGGGAAACAAACTACGCATAGAATTGTGTGAATTATAATAGGTGAGCAGCTTTGATTCCTGTTTGTGATTGTTATAAAACAGAAAAAAAAATTTTGGGTTTGCAATTGCTTTTACCCAGAAGTTTATGGATGGTTGGCGAATGTGGAAGCTTACAAAGTCAATGGCGGGTTCGACAAGATAGAAAATGAAAAAAAAGAAAAGAAAATATATAAGCAAATCATTGAAAGTCAACTCTGAATAATGCCATCAGGAGGAGAGGAAATGAAAAGAAAAAATACCAAAAAAAGAATTCAAAATGGAGGTAAATAAGAAGCAATCCTGTGAGAAAAATAAATACGAAAAATTACTAATAAAAAAAGAACAAAGTGTCTTTCTCTGTTTGATATCGAATTCTATGTTGATCATCTGTGTAGTGAAAACAGCTGGTTTTTCATTATGATACATGTCTAATAGCGGCATCTTCACAAGGAAACAAGCGGCAACAGGATGTCCAATACGTACACAAGTTTGCCGATCTCTGTTCATGCAACACACTGTAAGGGATTGATGAATAGATTTTTATATTGAAGTTGCATTAAATTAATCCAGTCCATATGGCGAACTAGTTTCAATTATCAGATCTCAGCATTCTCAGTTCATCGCTTAAAAATAGAGCATTGATGTAGCAGGCATGAAATCAAAGAGATTCTTTTGAGATACACGCCGTTTCAAGAAATTAATCCGAAGATTTTTAAATAGATATTTGGACGTCTTCACAGCGTTCGCTTGCGTCCTAATTTTGCAATCGAGACAACAACAGACTAATCTAAACTTTCAACCCGTGGGTTTAATTTCTATTTGATGACTATAAATAGTTAATTTATTCTCACTATTTACATTATTCGGTCTATTGTCCTCATCTTTATTACAACGTTTCGGCCTTTGTACGCTCCGGACTTCATCAGGTGGTTGGGATGACGAACTGAACCCTTTATTCACTGTTCTAGGTTCTTGTCAATTATCAATGTTAATTTCCCTCTCCAAGTTCCTTAACTGTTTTTACCAGAGCTCATATTGCATTTTTTGTTGTTATTAACGCTTTTTTCTGGCACTCCTTATTACTGGTTCCCATATTGTATTCATTTCTAAATAAAGGGTTCAATTCGACATTCCAACCACCTGAAGAAGGCCGGAGCGTACAACGGCCAAAACTTTGTAATAAATATGGCGACAAAGATGAGGACAATAGTCCGAATAATGTAAATAATGTACATAATACCTCATCCTAGAAATATAGACAGATACTTATCAAAATTACTGAAAACCTCCTAAAATCGTTTTGACTTTTATTTTATATGTTGCACAAGTGTTTACAGAATCGGGCCCGATTTAAACATGTTACTTGATCGCTTTTACAGTTTCCTTGGTAGAAATTTACAAATATCGTTGATAATTGAAAGCATTTTTATTTATTTGTTTAAGCCATCAGGAAAATATGCATTAAAATGTAAAGATAACGAGGAAAGTAAACGAAGGGATTTTTTATGAAATAGGATTTCGTCACAACGATTCTCAATATTTAATTAAGAACATTATTGTAAAGTTTCTGCGCGTTGAGAGAAGATTCAAATACGTCACAAATGAAAACGAGGTCAGCTGTTTGTGGGCTAGGTGGAGCGCGGGAGAATATATTGGAAGTAATTTCTGAAATGGCGTGAAATCATGACAACGCAAAGTTTCTTTAATTTTCTTTCAGCCTTGTAGAAAAATTAACCTTCAGGTCGGATATAACATTTAACTATGAAACTCCAGGCTACAGAAAAGTGCGTCACAGATCATCTCAAGTGTTTACTTATATGGATATATAGGAAGACAGCATTATTGCATTACTAACTTTGTTTATTAATTCGTTTTATTAAGTGTAGAAGTCTATTATAAATTATTATATCATGATATTTCTTTAAGATAGACTAGTTTCTTTGTATCTATCTACATATCTTCATATCTCTGTCTGGGTCTCTCGTTGTCGTTTCAAATATCTCTCTCTCTCTCTCCGTCTCTCCAGTCGTTTCATATCTATCTCCCTCGCACTCTCGTAGTTTCAAATCTCTCTCTCAGTTTCAAAACTGTCTCTCTCACTCTCGTAGTTTCAAATCTCTCTCTCGCTATAGTTTCATCTCTCACTCTCTCTTTACTTTCATATCTCTCTTTGTAGCTTCATATCTCTCTCTCTCAGTAGTTTCATCTCTCTCTTTCGGTCTCTTGCCGTAGGTTTAAGTCACTCTATCTGTGTCACTTCAAATCTCTCGCGGTCTCTCTCTGTCGCTGCAATATATATCTACCTGTTTTTCTATGTCATTTCACATCTCTCTCACTCGGTCTGTGTCACTTCAAATCTGTATATCTATGTTTAACTTCAAATCTCTCTCTCTCGATCTTTCTGTCTTTCTTCATATCTGTCTCTCGATCTTGAAGAAGCGTATAATATTAATTGAGGCATTAGAGAATTTTTTTTTTTTTAAGCATTTCACCCCAAGCAAGGCGGGGAGCCACTAGGACGCAAGGGGTTACATAAAATAGGAAGATCAGATAGGAGTGATAGAAGAAAGGATGAGGGTAGTAGATAGATTAAGGCAACTGGAGATGTCGATTGACATTACACTTAAATAGCTGGAGATTATAACTCTCAGGGAAACAGGAGAAGGGAAGAGAGTTCCACAGGCGAGAGGGTGCGAGACATGAAGCTATTAGAGTAGAAGAGACGGCTACATTTATGAGTTTCGACAGTGAAGGGGTGAGAGCGGGATGCCAACCTCGTAGGGCGCTTTGAACTCATGAAGTTTGGGAACCAGCGAATGCAGTTCCTCGGAGCAATTTCCATGAAAGTATTTGTAGAACAGACAGAGGGAGGCGACGGTGCGTCTGTGAGAAAGTGACTGTAGACGAGACGCCAGGGGCAGGGCCAACCATATTGCATATCCGCTTCTGGAGCCTATCAAGAACCCTGAGGCAAACAGAAGGGGCGCCAGACCATATATGGCAGCAATACTCCATGCAAGGGCGAATTGTGGATTTGTATATCTGGAGGATCGACTCAGGGGGAAAAACTTCCTAGCACGGCTCAGGGAGCCAACTTTCCTCGCAGTGGACGAGGCAATTGACTCGATGTATTTATTCCATCTCAGGTCAGCAGTCAACGTGAGACCGAGAAGCCGCAGAGAGTTGCTCTCGGGAAGTTGAGCGTCAGACATTATAATGGAGGGAAGGAAGACTCTCTGTGGTGATTAATAGAGAGCAGTTTGTCTTCGAAGCGTTGAAGTTGACCAGCCAAATCATGCCCCAGTTCACAATCGATTTGAGGTCCTTTTCGAGGCGCACGGCAAGGTGAGTTTTGTCAGCGAGACTGGATTTGTTTTTGAGGCAGGAATAAATTGTGGTGTCATCCGCGTAGATGCCGACTTGAGAAGTTACGGCGTCAGGAAGGTCATTTATATAGATAAGGAATAGAGTGGGGCCTAGGGTGGAGCCTTGAGGAACACCTGCGTTCGTGGGGTAGGAACTGGAGGAGAATCCGTTGTGAACGACCTTCAATTCACGGTTTGACAGGAATGATTGTATTACGTTATATAATTGACCCGTAATGCCATAACCCTGGATCTTGCGGAGAAGGCCGGCGTGCCAAACCCTATCAAATGCTTTGGAGATATCTAGTGCCACGGCACGGGCTTTCCCGTTATTTTGGAGGGTTCGGTAGACTGTTTCCGTGATGGCTGTGAGCACATCGGCTGTAGATCTGGCAAAGCGGAAACCATATTGCTTGTCTGAGAGCAGATTATTGGATGTGAGGTGGTTAACCACCCCGGTATTGATTAGAGCTTCGAAGATTTTGCCGAAGAGGGGAAGGAGACTGATAGGACGGTAGTTGGAAGGGTCAGAGGGGTCGCCGGAGTTCTTGAAGACAGGAACGATCGAAGAGGACTTCCAGCAGTCAGGAAAACAAGATTCCTTGAGGCAGTAGTTGTATAGTTTCGAAAGGGCGGGCGCCAGTTCAGGCGCGCATTTCTTTAAGACAATGGCTGGTATCCCATCTCCACCACTCGCCTTGTTGGGATCTAAATTGGAGATAACGCCCAGTACCAAGGTTGGGGTTATGTTTAACCCACTCAATATGGCCTCAGTTCTAAGAGGGAAGTCGGGTATGGGTACACCAGAAGAGTCGAGCGTCGAGTTGGATGAAAATTTCCGAGCAAAGCATTAGCCAGCCTTGTCGGTAGAGGAGGACAAGACTTCGAACTGGTTGAATAGAGGAGGTATAGAGGGTTTGCAATTATTCAATACACTCTTGCAGAGACGCCAATAATCTTTGGAGCCAAATTTGCGAGATGCAATACGTTCCTTCATTCGAGCCGCAAATAGTGACTTAGCATCATTTAGGACACGCTTACAATCGTTACGGGCGGCGGCAAAGAGACGTCTATTGCAGTCAGATATGTCGCTACGGTATAGGTGGAAGTAGTGGTTCCTATGGGCGATGGCGGCTGAGCAAGTAGCCGAAAAACCAGGGCAGGAGCTCGACGTAACCCTATATTTCCTTGATGGGATGAAAGCGTCGATTCCAGCTTTAACCCAGGAAGAGACCTCAGAAGCACATTCTTGGACGGGGAGCTTAAAGACTCCATCCCAGGGGACATCGCGGAGGAAATCACGGAACGCGTCCCAGTCAGCTCGTTGATAATAGAACGAAGTTCTAGTGGTAGGAGGTTCTTTATAGGGGGTGGAGTTGTTAACCGATACTACTGCATGGTCAGAGTTACCAAGTGGGCATAGTTGCGAGGCGCTGCAGGATTCGGGGATGGAGGTAAAGCACAGGTCGAGTAGAGAGGCTTTTACTTACCTGGTTGAGGGCAAAACGAGTGGGGAAGTTAACTATCTGTGTGAGGGAATGGGAGATTGAAAAATTAAGCGTTTGAATGCCTGCATGGTCAGTAGTAGCATTCTTAAGCCACAGAGTGTGATGGGCGTTAAAATCTCCAAACACAAAAAAAAATGTGAGCAGACGGGTGGAGGGGAGAGCCTTGTCTATGTTGTCAGAAATGCTATCAAGTATCTCACAGTCTTGAGAGGATGGAGAGCGGTAAAGGAAGAAGAGATAGCTTACCGCATTGAGGAGAGAGAGACGGAGACACATGTATGACTGGTCAGGCGATTCAAGAGAGGATTCTCTGGCCAGGGGGAGATGTTCCTTGACGTAGACACCAAGACCGTGCATGTGGGTTAGAGAGTCTTTTCTGAGGAGAGGAAGATAGCCGGGGATCGAGAGATCAGAAGAGGGATAGATGAGACAAGGTTTGTCTCTGCAGAGAGCCAGTACATCCGGGCCGTTTGCAGTGAGGAAAGATTCCAGACTGTAGAAGTTTGTTCTAATGCCCCGGATGTTGTAGAATGAAATGTTGAGGGGTTTAGGTGGTTTCTGAGATGCTGGTTTAGGGTAAATCTTTTCGGTTTTTGTAACTAATGTTGGATTTATTTGCAAAGATGAGAAGGCCTGAGGTAAGAGAAAACAGACAGTTTCGACCGTGACGCGGGCAGAGAGGAGTTGGCAAAATCCGCATCATTATGTGGCCTCAGGGCTGCCCACCGGAGGTGACTGCAGGGACACCTTTCCACGCGCGACATGGCACCACAAACACCCCGGTATTATACAACTGTTGATCAGAGCAGCCGCTCAAGACGCTACGCAAGAGTTAGGGCTCCTAACTACCAGTCGGAAACAGCAACCAGAGAACTGTCAGCCGTGTACCCTCAGAATGAAGAGATGTTGCCACAGACTGCACGCATCACGGGAGAAACAGACCTGCACTAATACAGAGGCCGGAGAGAGAAGACAGTACCGGGAACCCCTTCCTAGACAAGAAACAAGGTGTAAGCCTCTACTCATGTCCAATAGAAGGGGGAGGAATGTTGACCGGGCGGTAGAAGGGACTACCTAATTAGTTCAAGAATCTATTCTGCGGTTAAAATAACTACGTATTTCAAAACAGCGGTCGCTGTTCAAGTAATGGTTAATAAATGCTAATGCTTAGATTAAAGACATGGAAGTTCTCGATGTTTGAAAGATCAGCATAACACAAATAATTTATTCACACTTTCTCTTCATGTGGCCGTGTACTGGACTTAGTTGCACAGAGCAACTTCTGATCTTTACCACAGACACATGTACTTAACAACTGACCATATGTGATGTCGTCTTTGTAAACTAATACGACCATGAAACTAAATCTCTCATACTGAAAAAATATTGTTTATTCACCACCGGACTTGGTCAGTTAATAATGATGTGTGATATGTGGTTTTGGGGCCATTTTTCGAACGTGACTCTTCTTGCAAGGATGTGAGAGGATCTTTCTCTCTCATCATCCGTTTGTTTCATGCGTGAACATCCTAAGCACAGCTAGGTCAACCACTTGTTTATTTATCGCGAGCAGCTACTAATATCATGTGAAGTGAAAATCTGCACCTGATAGCTATGGGTTCACCTTCTATGCTAACTTACTGATGCCCCTAACTTCTTTGATGCTCTTGTGTGATACCGAGTGCAAAGTATACTTTAGTCTAACTAAGAGTGAGACCGGTACATACTGAGGGCACCACATAGCAACTCTACTTGGATCAGATTCCTGACATTAAATTCATTTAAGAACTTTGGTATTTCAGAGTTGAATCACATACTACACAGGTAAAATTAATAAACAAGAAAATTTGGCAGATATTCATTTTGATTGGGTTCCAAAAGACATTATATATATATATATATATATATATATATATATATATATATATATATATATGTGTGTGTGTGTGTGTGTCTCATTCTGTTAATTATCGTATTTTGTTAATACCTATCAAGCAAATTGTGAGAAAAGTACTGTCCTCGGTAACATCTGCTGCTTTTCCCGGAAGCAAACTTGATTATTTGTAAGTCTTTATCTTTTATTTTTTATATTTGAAAAATTCACCGACAAACAATTTTTGGCTGATCTCCAAAGGCATATGCGCAGTACAGGTTGCGGCAGAAGTACCTCCCACATAGACCTTCCGGAAATAACTCCCACATAATTGTCAGATAATAACTAGATGAAGACACCATTGCCACTAATGTCCTACAGTTTCTGTTCTTTTAGTGTTCTCTTCTTTCGCTTTGCTTTTTCTTATATTCTTTCACACTCATTAACCACCTGCGTCTTGGTGGCTTTGTTACCTTGCTTCGTGTGAAATGATTAAATAAATCCTCCAATATTTCAAAACAAAGGATTGCATTCAAAATGGTGATGATAAATGAGGTTTGTAATACGAATTGAAAAGAAGGAGATAGAAAAGGCAGATTAAGAGTATAGCGAGGAAAGATAACGATTGACCCTTGTCTTGAAGGGGTCAAGTTGAAGCAACTACGTGGGATTCTGTTCCGCAAAGTAG